AGGAGTTCTCGCCTACATCGTCCATATAGGACGACTCGGGAACTCAACTCCTACCCCGGGCAGCTCACCGATCCCCTTATGCCCAGGGGAAAGGTATCAAGCCGTTTGACAGCAGATGCTAGCTGTCAAACCGGCTTTTACGCAAAACAGGCGGGAGGCAGCAAACAGCTGCGACCAGCGAAATCGCCTGCCACCGGAACTCAGTCCAATTTTCTTGAGACTTGTCTGTTCTTTAGACAACCCAGTATCTGGTATCTATACCAAACTCTGCAATTTTTTGCAGATCTGTGTGAAGCAGCAAAATCTTGTGGCGGGCATAGATCAGGATCAGCTAGTGGCAAAGATGAGCCTGGTTGATTTGGCTGGCTCTGAACGTGCCTCTGCTGCCAATACCAAAGGAGAACGACTCCGTGAGGGTGCCAACATCAACCGATCCCTACTGGCTCTCATTAATGTTATTAATGGGCTGGCAGATGCCAAGGTAAATTATCTCTTACTCCTCAGCTACTGCTATTTTGTCTGACTACATTTAGAGTATAGGGATTTCTTTGCTCTGTATTTTTAATTCTAATTTTACACCTAATTATTCTCTGTCAAATCAGATCAAACCTTTATTATGGCCTTTAAGCCAGCTATAAGATGGAGAAGAATGGGATAATGAAATAGTGGAGCTCTGATCACAACATTACAGCCATTTTAACTTTTTAACTATGCCCTGGAATCACGTCTGACAGCGAGATACATTGAAAAAGCATCTCTGTTTGCCATATTTCCTCCATATATATATCCTTCCGATGTTTCCATTATTACATTATAAATGTGCAACAGCTATATTCTTTAAGGAATGCATATGATCCACTTTTATGAAACAATGTTACTAAACTAACATCTGTAATCCTTGATAGTTTCTTGTCCTATAAATCAATAAAGATAGGGCAAGAATCTTAAGCTTCAACTCTGGGAAGGATTTTTCTTTTCCAGAATGACAGATGATACTGTAATCCTATAATGGCATGGAAGAGCCAGTTTGATGTATTGATTAAGATGCTCCCCTAGAAATCAGAGTTCTAATTCTGGCTTAAACATGAAAGCTGGGTGGGTGACTCTGGGCCTATCACTCTTTCTCAGCCCAAAACTCACAGGATTGTTGTGAGGAAAATACAAAAAAGAAGGATTGTTTGTTCACCACCAATAATAAAGGCAGGATTAACTCTAATAAATAAATAGGGTTCTAAAATAAACAGCACTGTGCATATTTCAGATATACAATTCATTGTATTCATTGGCCTTAGACACAATAGGAATAGTAGTTGTAATGGCAGAAGAATTATATGAAAGAGTTGTTTCTTATAGAATCTAAATCCTCCATTAATTTTGTTGATCCATAGAGTAAAAAAGCCCACATTCCATATCGGGACAGCAAGCTAACGCACCTCCTAAAAGATTCTGTTGGTGGAAACTGTTGGACAATCATGATTGCAGCTATTAGCCCTTCCATACTTTCCTATGAGGACACATACAACACACTCAAGTATGCAAACCGGGCTAAAGAAATCAAACTTTTAGTAGGTACCAAAAATTGCATTTGTAGCTTAATAATTTGCTTGAAAATTATTTTTTTATTTTTGCCTCTGGATAAATCTCTTAGCCATGTTATTATGCCCTAAAGGTGTATCTACTTTGAGTTCTTGAAAACCTCAGAATAATATAAATCTTCAACTTATGGACCTCAGGAAATATTAGTTAATATTTCCCATAATTCTACAATTCTAGGTTTAAAAAAACCTTTAGGAATGTGTCTAAACATTTCCTCTCTGTAGCTCCCAGTACTGGTAGTCCTCGACTTATGACAGTTCATTTAGTGACCATTTATTTATTTATTTATTTATTTATTTATTTATAATTTAATTTATACCCCGCCCTTCTCCTCATGGGACTCAGGGCGGCTAACAGCCTCATAAAAACTACAATACAAATACAATAATTAAAAGCCGAATTAAAAAGAAATATTTAAACAGGCCGATCAATTAAAATTACCCTTAAAAATCCCCTGAAACTTTAAAATCA